CTTCATGATAATTCAAGTCTCTTTTCTTTGGTGCAAAACCCTTGCTTTGGCTTTTACTGTTAAATGCCTGTTCTTTTCTCATCTTAACAACAAAACTTTATTGCAATTAAACTTGGAACCAATGTAATCTTAAATGTAAATGACAATCAGGGCAACGTTGTCCTATGACAATGGAAGGCAGTATCAGCTCTTAGAAGCCTAGGGAATAAATTTCAGAGTTCTTGCCCTCCACATCCAAATATAAATACCCAAATCCCTTACAGAAATGGCACTGATTTACATGTAACCTATGCAGTAGCCTCTCTTATATTTTAAATCATATCTAGATAATTTACAATACTAATGCAATATGTTTAAATACAACTTAGACTGTTTTCCTTTTTCCCCCCTCTATTTAGGGAATAAGAAGAAAACATCTGCATACATTCCATTTACCCAATTGTTTCCCTCCAACTTTTGTATTGACAAAACAAATGAGCCACCCACAAAACCCAAAATACAAACAAAGAAACAACAACAACCTCCCCACCCTTGGTATTGACAAGGCTTTTTCCTTTATTTTCTGTCTCTCTTGAACAGGGTCTATGTAGTCCTTGGTGTCCTGGAACTTGCTGTGTATACTAGTTGTAGTTGGCCTTGAACTGAGATCTTCCTGTCTTTGTCTTCCAAACTGTTGACAAGGTTTTGCTAGATGCTGGTTGGTCTTGACTGAAATCACTATGGAGGCAAGGATGGCTTTTAACTCACAGCAATTGTCCTGCCTCGGACTCCTGAGTGTTGGGATTATAGGAATACGCTACCAGCCCTTCTCCTGAGAATGTTGATGCTAGGCTGGGTAAAACCACAGATACAGTACCTGCAGATATGAACATGTAGAACCAATTATCTTCTTTAAACTACTTTGTATTTATTAATTAATTCCCCTCAAATGAAACATTATACTCATTTTTACAGAAAAGACTTTGAGGTTAGACCTTAACATGTTCAATGTTAATCTACCTAGATGGAGCAGAGCTCAGAGATGCCAAGCAGGCCAGCTCCGCAGATGTGTACTTATTACTGTTTTAACAAATTAAGAGCCATGGGGTCAACTTTTATTTACTTTCTGGAGCCAGGTTCTCATGTAACTCAACCTAGCTTCAAAGCTGCGATACAGACAATGAACTTGAACTTCTGATCCTTTTGTCTCTACCTAGGAAGTGTTGGGGTTAGAGAAGCATGTCACCATATCCTGCTTTGAAGACTTTTTATTTTCTTTTAGCTTACTAAAAGACCATTAATTTATTTATATTTCTTTTTGAGGTAGGGTCTTACTGTATAGCCCTGGTTGGCCCAGCCTCAAATTCAGAGATCTTCCTGCTGGACTAATTCCAAGTGCTAGATTAAAGCCATGCACCTGTTTGAGAACATGGGTTTAGGCTTCTTAGCATTACCTTGGTAGATTTTGTTGTGGTTCTTTTTGACTGTTCAAGATAAGAGTTTCTCTGTGTAGCCTTGGCTGTCCTAGGCTCTTTGTAGATCAGGCTGGCCTTGAACTCACAGAGATCCACCTGCCTCTGCCTCCCCAAGTGCTGGGACTACAGGTGTGAGGCACTGTGCCTGGCTATGGAAGATTCTTTTTTTTTTAAATTTATTTATTTTTATTAATTAGTATATTCACTTTGTATCCCAACTGTAGCCCCCTCCCTCATCCCTCCCAACCCCACCGTCCCTCCCTCTTACCACCCATGCCCTTCCCCCAGTCCACTGATAGGGGATGTCCTCCTCCCCTTTGTTCTGATCCTAGTCTACCAGGTCTCATCAGGAGCGGCTGCATTGTCTTCCTCGGTGGCCTGGTAAGGTTGCACCCCCCCTCAGGGGGAGGTGATCAAAGAGTAGGCCACTGAGTTCATGTCAGAGACAGTCCCTGTTCCCATTACTAGGGAACCCACTTAGACACTGAGCTGCCATGGGCTACATCTGTGCAGGCGTTCCAGGTTATTCCCCTGAATCATGAATGGTCCTTGGTTGGAGTATCAGTCTCTGAAAAGATTCCTGTGCCCAGATTTTTTTTTTTTTTTTTTTTTTTCTCTCCTCGTGGAGCTCCTGTTCCTTCCAGGTCTTTCTATCTCCTCCTTCTTTTGTAAGAATCCCTGCACTCTGCCCAAAGTTTGGCTACGAGTTTCTGCTTTGATATTCTGCAGGGTAGACTCTTTCAGAGTCCTTCTTTGGTAGGCTCCTGTCCTGTTCCCTGTTTTCTCCCTTGGAAGAAGATTCTTGATGCTAAGATTTTTCATTAATTTATGGAAATCTACTTTTTTTTTTTTTTTTCTACTCCAGATAGGGTTTCTCTGTGTAGCCCTGGCTGTCCCAGATCCTGGTCATTTTGTAGATCAGGTTGATCTTGAACTCAGAGATCTGCCTGCCTCTGCCTCTTAAGTGCTGGGAATAAAGGTGTAAACCACATCTCCGCTAGTTTTCAATAAAGAAGAAGCGATGGTGAAAATTGTGCTGGATCAATGAGTTACTAGGGTCACAAGGTATACTTTAAATCATCTTTACATATATTTTGAGAGTATAAATTACTAGAAAGGTTTGATAGTGCATTTCTATAATCTGTAATCCCAGGTCTTGGGAGGCCAAGGTAGACAGATATCCTCAAGATAGAGGTGAGTGAGAACTTATCAACAGCAAGACAAACAACTACAACAGGAGGCTTAAGGAAAGAAAAAAAAAAAGGAGCTATTTATTTCAGTGTCTGCCAATTTTGTATGGTTCACTCACAATTTTATCCTAGTTCACACAGCTGCTGAGTTACTTACAAATGCATAACCAACTGGCCCACAAAAAGTAACCAGCTACTATGTGAGCAAGGCAGTTATTTCAATTAAAGAAAGCATGGAAGGGAAGTGTTAAGACAAAAGAAGTATTTGTAAATTTCAAAAGATTAACTTTTTTTCTCTCTCTCTCCAGACAGGGTTTCTCTGTGTAGCCTTAGCTGTCCTGCACTCGTAGACCAGACTGGTCTTGAACTCACAGATTTCCGCCTGTCTTTGCCTCTTGTGCTGGAACTATAGGCGTGTACCATTGCACCGGGCTAAAAGACCAACTATTAAATGCTTATTTTTGCACAAGCATATGGCTCTTTTCCCAATTTACAGGAAGCATTTAGATTTTTCTCAAAATAATTCAGACTAAACAAAACTTCCAAGTCTTTGAGTATGTCCTTCTCAGATTGTTGCCCTCTTCTCGGTCCTGTAAAATTTTGTATATGTGTTTTAACACTGGAGACCAATAAAAATAAAATTAAAACATCAGTAGATCACGAATACGAAATGACTTTCCAGAGAAACATTTACCTAAATCCACTGTCAAACTAAAAGTCTCGTGTATGTGTTTGTCACTGAGTAATAGTCCTGATGTCCAATTTGGTACACACTGTTTTGGCATCATGGTAATACCTATTAATGTCTCAATAGAGTAGTAAGTGAAAAATATAGTAAAATTGCCCCAACTTGAATAATGGCATATAATTTGGAATACAATTAAAAAACAAAACAAAACCCCTTTATTTCTCCTAGGATGTCAATCTGAAGTAAATGAGTATATGGTACCTTTAAAAAGGTTTTTATTTTTCTCTTTAATTATGTGTGTGGGTGCACAGTTACACATAGGAGTGCAGTGGGCAGATGCCTGACAGCACTGGATCCCCTAGAGCTGGGGTGACTTGCTATTATGAGCCATCAGATGTGGGTGTTGGGAATCAAACTTCTATCCCGTGGAAGATAACTGTTACATTACCTTTTCAGCCCTCAAAATCACTTTTTTTTTTTTTTAAAGATCACCTCTTAAAATAAATTGGTCTACAGTAGCTGTACATGGAAAGAATTTTCAGCATTACATTCTCCTAACAGAATTTATCTGATTATACATAAAAATCTCAAATTCTAGGGCTGGAGAGATGGTGCAGCAATTAAGAACGCATATTCCTCTTACAGCTCCCAACACTCACGTAGGGCGGCTCACAACCACGGGCTCTTTCACACAGTGCACACAATTAAAGACCATAAAATCCTTTAAAAATTCTTAGGTTCTAGAAGCTTAAACAACAGTGGTGTTACATGAAAGCGTCTAATGTACTGTGCATGGCAGGTCGCATTCCTCAAGCAAGTTCACTAACGTCTTCCTAGCCAGACAGACTCAGAAGATGCCTTAGAAGGAAAACCGATTCCCAGAAACTGCCTAAGTCGTTTTTAAGTGTGTGTTGAAAAGGAAGAACGGAGAGAGATAAGGCTCGTGTCGGCTGGACAGCTGTGTGGGGGTAGGGTGATGTGGTCGTAATTTTAAGACTTCCTACACCGTGTGACTGTTGGAAAACCAGGTCTGGCGCAGTAGGCTTTGAAGGAGGGAGAGAAAGTAATCGCGGGCTTTCCTGGTTAGTATGGAGCGCACGTCCGCACAGTGTACTGAATGAATCAACGGTCGAACGAACCAAGACACTTAGGGAAGATAAAACTCCTGAAGAACAGGTTACTGAAGGAAAAGCTAGGGGAACCGAGGGCTGGACAAAATGCTTCGTGCCGGGAGGAGGGGAGAAGGCTGCGATTCGCGAGGGCACTGACCAGAGAGAACTCGGTGCCGGGCCAATTGACTCGGAAGGGGATGTCGTCGCTGAGCTGGGGCAGCGCTCGGCCCCCGCCGGACGCCTCTAGGAGACCGTACAGGACCAGCAAGAGCGGCCCTCCCGGGACAAGGCTCCGCAAGCCGCCGCCTCCTTCCTCCATCCTCCGTCGCCGCGTCCTCCGGCCGCCGTCACAACCTCCTCTACCCGAGGAGAACAGGTGGAGGAGGAGGAGAAGGAGGCGGCGGCGGGACTACAAAGCGTCCTAGGTATTGAAGACCCAACCGCCGCCACGTCTCCTTCCGGAGAGCTGGGCAACGCCGCCTCCGCCCCCACCAGGGCCTCGGGCCACCGCTTCCGGAGCAGGCAGCCCATCAACATCCGGGGTCGCGGGGCCGCCTGGCTACGGAAGCCTGCGCTTGGGTCGCGTTGATGCTGCTGGCGTTCTAGCGGTTGGACTCAGGCGCGGAGGCCTGGGACGTGACGCCGGTTGAGCGGGTCTGGGAGTCGGCCCGTGGGCGAAGTGGCCCGGAGAGGTGAGTACCGGCCCGGTCGCGCCGTCCAGCCGCGTGGGACTCTTGGGGGTGGGAGTGGAGGGTGGGACTGGGGGTAGGCGGCGGCCGGCGCGGGGAGAGTCGGTGCAGAACGGAGCCCCGCAGAGGGGAAGAAGTTACAGTTCCGACTGAGCTCCACTCTTCCTGCTAGTTCCACTCTCCGTCTTCCCGCCGGAGCTTCTCTTAGTTTCTTCTGCTGGCGACTGCCGCCGGTTCTCAGCTCCCCACTAACGCTGCTGTGTATCTGGGGACACTCGAGTGACACCTGCCATCCCATAGTATGGTAAACGTGGTCCTTCGATGTTGGCGTGGATGGGAATTCTTGGGGCGGCATTTTCACCTCACCAGGGGCTTTTTCCTCCCTTGATTTGAATGTCGGGCCGTTGTTATTTTGCTTAGGAATCTGGTAAGTTGTGGGTTTTTTTTTTTTTGTTGTTGTTGTTGTTTGTTTTGCTTTTGTTTTTTTTACGTCAAGGCCAGAGCCAGCTGATTGTGAAGGTGTGAACCAAGTCATAGCAGAGTGCAAATAGAAAGTTTTGGTTTTTCACCCCTTCTTGAAAAAAAAAAAAAAGTTCGCGTTTGTTTCATCTCCAATGTAATAACGTATACAGTGTATGCCATAGAACACTTGGTAAAGACTGCTCTATCCACCTTTCCCATGTTGTGATGTTCAAATTCACTGGGAGAAATCAGAGACTTAGAAGCAATTCAAATTTAGATTAAATGAATTGATTCTTACTGCTAGTAGAAGGATGGTAGCCTTGGAGCCAATACAGCATGCCACTGGGAAGGAGAATTAAGGTGAGGTTTTAAGGTGGACACCAGAAAGGTGTGAATTACAACTATCCGTGGAATCCACATCTGAAAAAAAAAAAAAATTGTTTCGCTTCCCTCAGTTTCTTTTCTGTTAAATAGTTAAAAAAAAAGAGACCATTTTATCCCTTTCCCACAGCGATAGAGTTTTACAGAAGCAAAGCAGCTGTTAATACCTTACAGCCCATTATCCCAGTTTTGCCTCATGTGCAAGCCATTAAGATCTCCCAGACATTACAGAGCAAAAAGTCAATGGCCTTTAAGGGATGCCTAGCTCCATATTGTGTCTTTAGTCACACAGGGACTGTGAAAATTATTACCCAAGTCTGAGCACTGGGATAGAGCAGTTCCTTTCTGGTGGGCGAAAAACACAGTGCCATTAGCTTAGGGCTGGCTGTCACGTCCCCTACCCAAATTTGAACCAAAGCAAAAAGAGTAGTCTATTTTTCATCTCTACAGATATTCTTTTAAGGTGAAGACTTAACATGTTTTTTAATTAATTAATTTTTCAAATTCAGTTTACTTCTTGGTTGTAGCCCCCATCCCTCACTCCCTCCCAGCATCCGTTCCCTCCACCCAAGCCCCACCTATTCCTCAGAAAAGGGGAGCTCCCTTTCCCACCCACCATAGCTCAAGTTGCATCAGGACTGAGCTTGTCCTCAATTCCTGTGGCCTGGCAAGGCAGTCCCATCAGGGGGAAGTGAGCGAAAAGCTAGTAGGTGAGTCCCTGTGTGATACAGTTCCCACTTTTACTAGAGAACCCACGTGAAGCCTAAGCTGACCATCTGCCACATCTTTGTAGGGGAACTAGGTCCCGTTCCTGCATGGTCCTTGGTTGATGCTTCCAGCTCAGCAAGCAACTCTGGGCCCTAGTTAGTTGGCTCTGTTGGTCTTCTTGTGGAGATCCTATCACCTCCAGGTCCTTTTCTCTTTCTTCTCACTTTTCCACAAGACTCCCTACACATTGCCAAAGTTTGGCTTTGAGTCTCAGCATCTGTTTTGAGGTGATGCTCGGTAGAGCCTCTCAGAGGCTCCTGTCTGCAGGCTTAGAGAGAATATCGTTCATAGTGTCAGGGGTTGGCACTCTCACATAGGGTGGGTCTTTGGTTGGGCCAGGCATTGGTTGAGCTTTTCCTCAATCTGTGTTCTATCAGATCTTCACATCTTACTATAGCAGGATAAATTTGGGGTCGAAGATGTTGTGAGTGGGTTGGTGTTCCTCTTTCTCTACTAGGAGACTAGTCTACTTAGAGGGTGTCCTATTAAGTCTCTATGGCCTTGACAACTAGGAATCTCTGCTTGAATCTTCCTCATATTCTACTAGACGCCTACCCTGACTAAGGTCGGCCTTAGTCAGACTAAGGTCTCCATCTTGCCACAGAAATGCCCTCACCCACAGTTTCTCTCTTCTCTACTGGCCTTCTGTCCTCTCATTTCCTGGGTGTGCTCTCCACCCTCTTAACTCTCTGTGCCCCCTCTCCTACCTTGTTCCCTCTCTTTAGCCAGTACCTCTGTCTATTCTGTCTTCCCTTCTAAGTGAGATTTATGCATCTTCCCTTGGATCCTCTTTGTTATTTATCTTTTCTGAGTCTGTGCCTCGTGGTGTGCTTATCTTGTATTATTGGCTAAATTCCCTTATAAGTAAGTACCATGTGTATCTTTCTGGGTCTGGGTTACCTCACTCAGTATGATCTTTTCTAGTTACATCTATTTACCTGCAAATTTCATGATTTCTTTGTTTTTAATAGCTGAGTAGTATTCCATTGTGTAAACTTGTGTCACAGTTTCTTTACCTAGTTTTTGGTTGAGGGACATGTAAGTTGTTTTCAGTTTCTGGCTATTACAAATAAAGCTGCTATGAATGTAGCTGAGCAAATGTCCTTACTCAATAGTGGAGTGTCTTGGTTCCCAGGAATGGTATAGCTGGGTCTTGAGGTAAAGCTATCCCCAATTTTCTGAGAAAGCACCAGCTTGATTTCCAAAGTGGTTGTACAAGTTTACACCCCCACCAGCAATGGAGGAGAGTTCCCCTTTCTCCATATGTGCTGTCACTTGAAATTTTGATCTGAGCCATTCTGACCAGTGTGATACGGAATCTCAGAGTTGTTTTGTTGTGCATTTCCCTGATGACTAAGGAAACTGCACATTTATTTGTTTCTCGACCATTCAGTATTCCTCTGTTGAGAATTCTCTGTTTAGTCCTGTGTCCCATTTTTAAATTGGGTTATTTTGTTTATTGGTGTTTGAATTCTTAAGTTCAGTATATATTTTGCGTATTAGCCCATTGTCGGATGTAGGATTAGTGAAGATCTTTCCCTAGTCTGTAGACTGTTGTTTCGTTCTGTCGACAGTGTCCTTTGCCTTACAGAACCTTTTCAGTTACGTGAGATCCCATTTATTAATTGTTGATCTTAGAGCTTGAGCTGTTGGTGTTCTGTTCAGGAAATTATCTCCTGTGCCAATGAGTTCAAGGCTCTTTTCCACTTTCTCTTTTAATAGATTTAGTGTATCTGGTATTGATCCACCAGGTCTTTGATCCACTTGAATTTGAGTTTTGTGCAGGGACATAAGTATAGATATTTGCATTTTTCTACATGTAGACATCCAGTTATACCAGCAACATTTGTTGAAGTTGCTGACTTTTTTTACATTGTATAGTTTTGTCAAAAGTCAAGTGTCTGTAAGTATGTGTATTTATATCTTCTGGGTCTTCAGTTCCATTGATCAACCAGTCTATTTCTATGCCAGTACCATGTAGTTTTTATTACTATTGCTTTGTAGTATACCTTGAAATTAGGAATGGAGATACCTCCAGAAGTTTTTTTTTTTTTTTTATAGGATTGTTTTAGCTACTCTGGATTTTTTGTTTTTCCATATGTGGTCTCTTTCTTAAGCACGTAGTTTCCTGTGAGGAAGTAGCTCTGATTTGACTTGAATGGTGAAAAGAAGAGAGTTACACAAAAATGTCCAGGCAGAAGCCTGAGGCAGGAATGAGTGTGGCACATTTGAAGGACAGAGAGGCCAGTATAGCTGGTATGTGAGAAGATTGTGCCAAGAGGTGAAATTGGAGAAGCAGGAAGAGGTCAGTTGGATACAACCTTGTAGGCAGGGCAGTGACAAGGCCTGATGTACTTTTAGGAAGACCATTATGGTTGCTGTGTGGAAAAGTGTTTGTTGGGGATGTTGGGGGCTGATGCATAACATCCAAAATATGTAGACATCTCCTAATCCTCATAACCCAAGTATGAGCTATTTGGAAAAAGGATATTTATAGCTGTAATTCAACTGAAGATGAGGTCAAACTGAATTAGGGTGGGCCTTAATCCAGTGAAATCTTAAGGAGGGTGAAATTTGGATTGAGACACATGGGGGAAATGCCACGTAAAGGAAGTAGTTAATTTGAGTAATGTACCTACACAAGTTGGTAAGCATAGCAATGGAGGAAGGGTTTGATCAGAAATAGTTTTAATTTATATGTGCATTAACAATTTCTCTTGTAAAATTATATTATTATTATTACTATTATTATATGCATATATGTGTATGTGGGGTGGGTATGGGTCCATGCTATGGTGTACGTGTAGAGGTCAAAGGACCACTCATTGAACAGTTAACTGAGTGAGATGCTGTTAAGGGGCAGTTGTAAGGCTGGGTGTGGTGGTGCACACCTGTAATCCCAGCACTTGGAGAGGCCGAGACAAGTTGATCTCTGTAAGTTTGAGTCTAGCCTGGTCTATAAAGAAAAGTCCAGGGCAGCCAAGACTCACAGAGAAACCCTGTCTTGAAAAACAAAACAAAAGAAACAAAAAAGAGGCTGTCTAAGATGGTAAGTGACTACTGTATGTAACAGCACAGAGTGGGGTTATAGGGAAAGGTGGAGCCAGTTTGTTCTAGCTAGTTTTATAGCTACTTGATGTAAATTACAGACCTTTTAGAAAAGGGAAACCTCAGTTGAGAAAATGCCCACCAGACTGGCCTGAAGACAAGCCTTTGGTACATTTCTTGATTGGTGTGTGTGTGTGTGTGTGTGTGTGTGTGTGTGTGTGTGTGTGTGTG